CATCATCATCATCATCATCCTCATCCTCATCCTCATCCTTATCCTCGTCATCATCATCATCATCATCATCATCATCATCATCAGCATCAGCATCAGCATCAGCATCATCAACATCATCGTCGTCATCATCAGCATCAGCATCAGCATCAGCATCATCAACATCATCGTCGTCATCATCATCAGAATCATCATCATCATCATCATCATCATCATCATCATCATCATCATCATCATCATCATCATCATCCTTTTCTTCCTCCTCCTCCTCGTCCTCCTCCTCCTCCTTCTCCTCCTCCTCTTTTCGTCCTCCTCCTCCTTATCCTCCTCTTCCTCCTCCTCCTCCTCCTATTCCTCCTCCTCCTCCTCCTCCTCCTCCTCCTCCTCCTCCTCCTCCTCCTCCTCCCCCTCCTCTTCCTCCTCCTCTTCCTCCACCTCCTCCTCCTCCTCCTCCTCTTCCTCCTCCTCCTGCTCCTCCTTTTCCTCCACCTCCTCCTTTTCCTCCTTCTCTTCCTATTCATTGGTCCCTCCTCCTCCTCTCTTCCTCCCCCTCCTCCTCTTATTGATATTATTAGTATCATTCGTATTCATGGTGCTGATACATTTCTTAGTATCCCATGTATTCTTATTAATATTAGATAATAGTCGTATCATCACCGTATTATTCGCATTAGTAATATTACTATTATTCGTTATATCATTGGTATTAGTACGACCAGCATTACTACTTATATTATTAATAGCTTCATTCGTCTTCTTATTACTAGTGATTGCATTAGTATGCGCATTAGTATTATCATTCGTCTTCGTAATAAAATTATGATTAGTATCCGTAGTAGTGTTATTCGTAATAGTATCAGTTTGATCGTTAGTCGTATTATTAGTCGTCTTATTCCCAACCAACCTGTGTTGTTGGGTCCTCGTTTTGAAGAGACGGTCCCCGCGTTCCTCCTTCCTCCTCATCCCTCCTCCCCTCCTCTCATCATCACCAGCATCATCGTCATCATCGTCGTCACACGTTTCGTGGCCCCATAGGAGCTCCGCCGAAGGTCCCAATGGCACACTTCGCATGCGCCCCCGCCACTCATTTCGGCACACCCCTCACACGTTTCGTGGCCCCATAGGAGCTCCGCCGAAGGTCCCAGTGGCACAGTTCGCATGCGTCCCCGCCACCCATTTCGGCACACCCCTCACACGCTTCGTGGCCCCATAGGAGCTCCGCCGAAGGTCCCAATGGCACAGTTCGCACGCGTCCCCGCCACTCATTTCGGCACACCCCTCACACGTTTCGTGGCCCCATCGGAGATCCGCCGAAGGTCCCAGTGGCACAGTTCGCATGCGCCCCCGCCACTCATTTCGGCACACCCCTCACACGTTTCGTGGCCCTATAGATAGGAGCTCCGCCGAAGGTCCCACTGGCACAGTTCGCATGCGTCCCGGCCACTCATGTCGGCACATCCCTCACGCGTGAGCCCTGCCGAAGGTCCCTTCGCATGCGTCCCCGCCCCTCATTTCGGCACACCCCTCACACGTTTCGTGGCCCCATAAGAGCTCCACCGAAGGTCCCAGTGGCACAGTTCACATGCGACCCCGCCACCCATTTCGGCACACCACTCGAACGCTTCGTGGCCCCATAGGAGCTCCGCCGAAGGTCCCAGTGGCACAGTTCGCATGCGTCCCCGCCACTCATTTCGGCACACACACACACACACCTCACACGTTTCGCGGCCCCATAGGAGCTCCGCCGAAGGTCCCAGTGGCACAGTTCGCATGCCCCCCCCGCCACTCATTCCGGCACACCCCTTCACACGCTTCGTGACCCCAAAAGAGCTCCGCCGAAGGTCCCAATGGCACAATTCGCACGCGTCCCCGCCACTCATTTCGGCACACCCCTCACACGCTTCGTGGCCCCATAGGAGCCCCGCCGAAGGTCCCAGTGGCACAGTTCGCATGCGTGCCCGCCACTCATTTCGGCCGGCACACCCCTCACACGCTTCGTGGCCCCATAGGAGCTCCGCCGAAGGTCCCAATGGCACACTTCGCAACCGCCACTCATTTCGGCACACCCCTCGCACGTTTCGTGGCCCCATAGGAGCTCCGCCGAAAATCCCAGTGGCACAGTTCGCATGCGTCCCCGCCACTCATTTCGGCACACCCCTCACACGTTTCGTGGCCCCATAGGAGCCCCGCCGAAGGTCCCAGTGGCACAGTTCGCATGCGTCCCCGCCACTCATTTCGGCACACCCCTCGCACGCTTCGTGGCCCCATAGGAGCTCCGCCCGAGGTCCCAGTGGCACAGTTCGCAACCGCCACTCATTTCGGCACACCCCTCGCACGTTTCGTGGCCCCATCGGAGATCCGCCGAAAATCCCAGTGGCACAGTTCGCACGCGTCCCCGCCACTCATTTCGGCACACCCCTCACACGCTTCGTGGCCCCATACGAGCCCCGCCGAAGGTCCCAGTGGCACAGTTCGCATGCGTCCCCGCCACTCATTTCGGCACACCCCTCGCACGCTTCGTGGCCCCATAGGAGCTCCGCCCGAGGTCCCAGTGGCACAGTTCGCATGCGTCCCCGCCACTCATTTCGGCACACTCCTCACACGCTTCGTGGCCCCATAGGAGCTCCGCCGAAGGTCCCAGTGGCACAGTCTGCATGCGTCCCGCCACTCATTTCGGCACACCCCTCACACGCTTCGTGGCCCCATAGGGAACTCCACCGAAGGTCCACGTGGCACAGTCCGCATGCGTCTCGCTCGCCCAGTACAGCGCTTCGTGGCCCCATATGGAACCCCACCGAAGGTCCCCGTGGCGCAGTCCGCATTGTGGTGGCCGTTTTCGTTCGCGTTGTGTACCAGGCCACTCATGTCGGCACACCCCTAGCACGGTTCGTTGCCTCATAGGGATCACCTTCGAAAAAGTGAATCACAATTGCGGTACTCACAACTGGATATGGTTGGGTCCTTCGTCAGGCGAAGTAATAGCTTATTGTGGTTAATGTCAATATTATCAGTCTTGGCATTTTTATTATTAGTGACATTAATCGTATGATCACTCTCATTACTATGATTAGTATTGGTCGACGTCGGATTCGTCATATTGTTAGCATCAATCTTCGCAGTAATCATGATAGTATGATTAGTCTTCTTCGTGTTATTCTTCGCATGCGTCGCATTACCTTGTTATTATTGCTTGTGGCTATGATCATTCTTTTTCAACATTCTTATTGCTGGTAGTTTTATTCGTAGAACTATACTTCGTATACCTATCATGCTTACCATATGTGTACCATTATTCTTAGTGTTTTAGCCATTCTTCTTGATAGTATTATTCATATGATTCGTCTTCGTATTACTATTATCCGTACTCGTGTCTTCTTCGTATTAGCATCACTGATGTTATACGTATAATGTTAATACGAATTATTAATCACCTGGCTCATATTCTTCTTATGGAAAAGTACTCCGACGGAAGGACCCCACATGAGAATCCTCTGGGCGAATCTGGAAAAAGCCCTCACCGTCGTCCTCGTGGTTGGTGAGGCGTCCTGGCTGTCTCTTCTGCGTATATTTCTTCTCGCCCTGGCGCGGGCCCTCCCCCCGCTCCCTACGTTGCCCCCGACCTCGCCCTCCTGTTTTGGCTCTGGACATTCAGAAAGTAGCCCGGGAGTGGTGTTCTGGGAACACGAAGAACACGAAGTGGCCTACAGTTGGCTCCAGGCATTCAAAATGTGGCCCAGGAATGGTGTTCTGGGAGCACGAAGAACACGAAGTGGCCTACAGTTGGCTCCGGGCATTCAAAATGTGACCTGGGAATGGCGTTCTGGCAGCGCGAGAGCCCAAAAATGACGACAGTTATAAGAATTGGATGACCCGCTCGGATTAGTAACATGATCCGCGGGCCCCATAGGGAGGGGGCTCCCGCTTGAGACTTCCTCGCAATTCACTCACAAATGTGGCCTGGGAATGGCGTTCTGGCAGCGCGAGAGCCCAAAAATGACGACAGTTACAAGAATTGGATGATCCGCTCGGATTAGTAACACGATCCGCGGGCCCCCTAGGGAGGGGGCTCCCGCTTGAGACTTCCTCGCAATTCACTCACAAATGTGGCCTAGGAATGGCGTTCTGGCAGCGCGAGAGCCCAAAAGTGGCGACAATTACAGGAATTGGATGACCCGCTCGGATTAGTAACATGATCCGCGGGCCCCGTAGGGAGGGGGCTCCTGCTTGAGACTTCCTCGCAATTCACTCACAGACGAGACCCAAGGCGAGTGAGTGAGTGAGTAACTGACTGACTGACTGGTGATGATGATGACCATCACACTCTCTCACGCGCACACTCATCTTCATCATATGTGAGTTCATGAGCGTTTGAGTGAGTGAGTGCTGATGAGTCAGTGAGTGAATGAGTGAGTCTGTGAGTGAGTGAGTGAGTGAGCGAGGGAGTGAGTGAGTGAGTGAGTGAGTGAGCTAGTGAGTGAGTAAGTGAGTGAGCGCACGAAGACAGAAGAGGAGAGGGGGTGAGGTGAGGATGTGCCTGCGCGGGGTGTCCAGAGAAAACATGAACCCCACTTTGGATGTGGGGAACTATTATTATTCCTTTTCCTCCTTCTCCTCCTCCTCCTCCTCCTCCTCGGCCTCTGCCTCGGCCTCTGCCTCCGCCTCCGCCTCCGCCTCCGTCTCCTCCTCCTCCTCCTCCTCCTCTTCCTCGTCCTCATCCTCCTCCTTTTCCTCTTTTTCATCCTCATCCTCATCCTCCTCCTCATCCTCCTCGTCCTCCTCCTCCTCCTGCCTCCTCCTCCTCCTCCTTCCTCCCTCATCCTCCTCCTCCTCCTCCTCCCCTCCTCCTCCTCCTCTCCTCCTCCTCCTCCTCCTCCTCCTCCTCCTCCTCCTCCTCCTCCTCCTCCTCCTCCTCCTCCTCCTCCCTGAAGCGATCGCCGACGACGGGCGCCCACATGGACCAGTGCACCCGTCTACCAAGCGGCTGGCAGAGGCGGGGCGCGGTCCTCTCGGCACCCCTGGCTGCGCTCCGCTCCTGGGCGGGGCCGGCGCGGCCAGCGGTCAGAAGGCGGCAGCCGGCCCTCCTCCTCCTCCTCATCCTCCTCCTCCTCCTCCTCCTCCTCTCCTCCTCCTCCTCCTCCTCCTCCTCCTCCTCCTCTCCTCCCTCCTCCTCCTCCTCCTCTCCTCCTCCTCTCCTCCTCCTCCTCCTCCTCCTCCTCCTCCTCCTCCTCCTCCTCCTCCTCCTCCTCCTCCTCCTCCTCCTCCTCCTCCACCTTCTCCCCCTGCCCCTGCCGCGGCCGAGTCACTGAGCTCCGCGGCGCAGGGGGCAGGCCTCCTGGGGCTCAGAAGGCCTCCGAAGCCACAGAGGGCTCGAAGGCTGGAAGGCTCATGCCGAGCCCCAACGCCTTCTGAGAAGGCCTGCACATTCTCACTTCCCTCACTCGACGAGCGCGGCCGATGCGCGCTCTTCGGCGGCGCGCAGGAAGACGAAAAGTCGCCGTCGGCATCGTCAACGCTGTGGGCGCGTTCCTGAAGACTCTCGCGGCCACGGCTGGACGCAGCGCGCAAAACTGGCCAAGTCAGAACCTGGGATTGCTGGGTGGGCGGGGTATGAGCTGAGTTCTGTTGAAACGCAAAGCGAGGGGTGGGGGTTCCCGAGAAAAGCACCAGGGTTCTAAGAGTGGGCCGGCCCTGTTCAGAGAAGCAAGAGAGCGTCTGAGAGGCGTCTTTGCGCGCCACCGAATTCTGCGACGGCTCCAGTCGGGCCATCACGCGACCCGAGCTGCCTCGTTCCCTGGCGTGGCGTCGGACATCACGTTAAGTTAATGCCGCATCACCAGTTCGAAAAACCACACAGGTCAGCACGCCACGGCTCTGGGCGCCCAGACCCGACCTCGTGGCCGCTTGCACCGCACAGCACCACAACGGCCGATCACGCCCGAGACCGCGGCAGCCCACACGGCCAAGCCAGGCAGGCATCCCAGTAACCGCTGTCGATGGGCGCGGGCCATCGCTGCTCGCCCACAAGGCACCGCTCGGAGCCTCACCGCAGGACAGCGCAAGGCACTGGGCAGCCTCATCCTAAGCGGCAACTCGCACGAACACCGCAAAGCACGCGACCGAACAACTAGCCCTGGTTTCGCGGGAAACCCCTGAAACCACATGACGCCACGTGGCATGACAACAACAACTCGGGCCTCGTGGCAACACACAAACACACACACACACACACACACACACACACACAAACACACACAAACAAACAAACACACACACACACACACACACACTCACACACATACGCACGCACGCACGCATGCACGCACGCACGCACGCACAAACGCACACACACGCAACAAACAAACAAACAAACAAACATACATACATACACATAATTACACACACGCAAGCAAACACACACACACACACACACACATCACACACACACACACACATCACACACACACACACACATCACACACACACACACACACACGCTGGCGAAGTGGGATCGTTGCCTGGCCAGGACGCGTCGGCGGGGCGTTTGCCTTTCCCCTGCGGCAGGGGCCCCTTCCCTTTGCATGTAGCAAGCTCAGCACTGTGCCTCCTCTTGTCCACTTCCCGATGCCACTCGGCGTCCCAGTCGATTCGGATGCCCTTGTACATGCACAGGGTACGGACATCATAGTTGGCCTGCCTGATCTCGTACACAAAGCCCTGGCAAAATTCGGCACGGTGCCGCTTGGGGCCCTTGGAGGAGTGAAGCCCCTTCTCCTGGTCACAGGCGGCGTCCCAGCCGATCGACAGCATGGGGCCACACTCCTCTTTGAAGCGGTTGGCCACCTCATGCCAGTCCTCCCCTGCGTTGGTATTAAAATTCCAGGCGGGGCGCCACGCCACCCTATGCCGCGGCGCGTACTAGAACCGATCCGCGGCATCGCACTGGGCCGGCGGCCGCGGCGGCGAGGAATTTGCCCCTGCCGCCAGGGCGGAGCGCGCTCCGCAGCGTCGCATCCACGCCACCTTCGGGACGCGCTGCGTTGCTCATCGGCCCGGGGGGTCTCGCGCACCGGCTCCCCCCTAGCGGTTTGCGGAGCGCCTCCGCCGGACTGCTCCGCCCGCGGCGCCTGCGCGCGGTCAGGGCTGGGAGATGGGCGCGCACGAGCGGACGGCTGAGAGGAGCGGCCTGGGCCAGGGCGCCTCTCGCCACACCTGCTCGCTGGGCTGCCAGGGGGAGGTCGCTCCCGAGAGCGGGGGTCGCAGGCCGAACCGTTGGAGCGCCCGCGGGGCGCCAGGGGGGGGGCCAGAGCTGCCATCGCTCTGGTTGCGCCCCGCCTCAGCGGGCTCTTTCGGCGGCACCGCCGGACACGCGCCCCCGTCCTCAGCGACGGCTGCCGCCGACCTGGACCTCACTTGAGGGGGGCCAGGCCACCGTCGAGCTGGTCGGACCCGAACCTAGGGGGTGCCGGGGGGGGCGGCAACCCAGGCCGCGCGGGGCACGGGGCGAGGTTGCCGGGCTGGCTGCCCCCGAACTGATCCTTGCATTATGAGCGCTGCGGGCGGCCAGGGGCCGCCTGCGGGGGAGCGTCATGGACAGCATCCGACAGGGTTAGCTCCCCCTTGCCGCTGTTGCCGGGCACCAGCACGCCAGCGGGCGCTGAAGCCAAGTGGTCCCCCTCGAGCTCAGGTAGCCGAGCAGGATCTCCTGGCTGCACCACGCAGGGTCTCGTCCCTTCACTGACGCCTGGGGGCCGCGCCTGCTGCGGCACGCATCCTGTTCGTCGGGCCCCTCGTGAGAGCCGGGGGGCACCTGGGGGCTCTGACGGTGAAGGTGGCTGACCAGCAGAGCCAGGGCGGCTCGCTCACCGCCCGTGTGGACGCCCGGGGGAATCCATGAAGGCGGGATGGAGTCGCCGTAGACGGTGGTGAGGAATTCCTGACAGCTCTTTGCGGGCCAAGCCCTGGGGTCAGCAGGTGCACCCAGGCCTTTCCCGAGCATGCGGAGAGAAGAGAACGCGTTGTCCGCCGCCCAGGCCCTCCAGCGCTCGTCTACCGAGGGAGAGGCCGAGCGGGCGAACGCCATCATAATGTCCGCGATCGAATTGTCCGCCCTTCCGTGCACGGGGTCAGGATGGATGTGCCTGCCTGCCTCTAGAGCAGCAACGCCCCCTACCTCCTGGCCGGGGCAGGTCGGTGGATTGACGCTGCGAGGTCCGTCGAGGAAGCTGGCGGGAGGCCGCACTGGCGGCGTTGACCGTCTCGCCGAGGCGTCGCCGCCTGTCCTCCGCGCAGAGGCTGAACGGAAAGGTCTGGGTCGCGCGCGGACGCGAGGGCCGCGGCAGTCGGCGCGGCGGCGCCCCGGCGATGCCCTGCCCCGACGGCAAGGTGGGAAGGTGGAGGACACCTGCGGGTCTCTGGACTGGCGCCCACGCGAGGATGCTGCGCGGCTGTCGGGGGAATGGCTGGTGGGCGCGTTCGAGGTTGACCTGTGCCTGGGTGGTCTGCCAGCGTTGCCCAGGTTGCCAGTGCCCGAGCAACGAGGCCGCCGGCGGGCTGGACTGCGATTCTGGCGACGCTGCCGCTGTGAGGCTGGCACGGCAGAAGCGCCCGCGGCCCTTCTCCTGCTGGGCAGTGTCCAACGGCGCATGCCTGAGGGCCAGGAGGCCTGGCGGGCCTGGTCGCTGCTCGTCCTTGGGTGGTGGAGGCTGCCTGTCTTGCGGGTGCAACTGCAGGGTGGCCACCGGCCCGGAGAGAAGCGACCCCTTGCCCCTTTTGGGCGCAGCCTTGGGGAACAGGGCACGCCCAGACCTCTCGAGGACCTGCCTTGACCTGGCTCGGGCGGGCACCCCACAGGTGCACGAGACAATCGTCACAGATCCACGCAGCGTTCCACCGCACGTTGGCAAACGACTGCGTTCATGCTTTGAAGAGCGGGAGCCCGCGGAGCAGCTCGAGCTGAACTTCCCAGGGCGAAAGATGAACACGCCCAGCGGCGAATCACCGCATGGCCACTGCTTCACGGGGGCGTCGCCAGGGCATCGATCGCACTGGCACTTCCATAGGCAACAGCTGAGGTGCCTGCCGAATGGGTCGTCGATGGTGGAAGACTGGGATAGCGGTGCGAGCGCGGGCAGGGTCGCGGGGGCCCCATGGGGTCAGAGGAGATCGGCCAGTGGGGCGTCGTTCTGGGCACGGACAGCGGCCGGGCCTTCAGGCAGCGGGCGCGGGGGGAAGCGCAGGACTGACGACTCAGCGTCGTGGAAGTCCAGGTGCGCCGTCATCCTGTCGTCGGTCGGCGTCGGCAACACGTTGGCTGACAAGATTGCGCGCCAGCACCCGCAGCAGCGCCATCGACAGTCCATCCCCGGGCGGTTGAATTGAAGGCGGCCCGCGGCAACCGTCTTTCTAATTGCGCGATCCACCCAGGCACCTCCGATCTCCTTTGGGGGGTGATGGACCTCTCCCACATCGGTCGCACTAGATGCGGGGGGTCCGCAGGTTCGGCTGGAAGCGATCACCCCCCTGGCCGATGCCGGGGGGGGGGGGGGGGCGGGAGCGCGGCCCCGGGCGGCACGCCAGTCGGGGGGGGCAGCGAACAGACCCTTTCCCGCCCCCGACAGCCCCCCTCCGAGGCACCTGCGGGGCGGTGGATCGGTGGCCTCCGGGGAGGAAGCCCACGCTGGACCCGAGAAGGGCCTGCGAAAGGGCGCAGACGGCGAAGCTGTGGGTCTGCAGGCAAGAGAACTCCGCGGGGGCGACGAGCTGGCCCAGGACTCGAAGAATGGGCATCCGAGAGAGGTGCCCGAGGAAGGCGCCCGGCGCCCTTCCAGGGCACGCCAGCCCGTTCCCCCTCTTCGCCCCGATGGCGGTGCACCACGGTGACTAGCCTGGAGAATGCCTTGATGAAGGCCTCTAAGCGCCCGCGGAGCCCGCTGAAGTCAGCATCTACCACATTGCGACCGCGCGAGCGGTTGTAGGGGGGCAGGTGCCCAGGGTGACCCCGAGGATGTCACCGATGTGGCCAGGGCTTCCGCA